GGAAGCACTAATCACTGGGGTCTGTTCCTCTGTACTCATGGGCTCTGCACATATGAGACCTGAGCAGTTTCCTGAACCCTCTCCTCTCTTCTGCTTCAGTGGGGCACTTAGCTCAGGCCTGAAGTTAAGCCCTGCATACTATACTCATGCAATGCTGATCCAAGCCTGAGAGCAACTGGATGCCACTGGAAAAGCAATGCAAGTGCCAGGGAAGGAAGAGGAGCTAATAAATCTCTCAAGCATCCAGAGATAATTATCAGAGATATTTTGTAAGAAGTATATTTTTATCAACAACATATCTTTATTTCAGTAATCTCTGTAGGAGCATTGTCCCCAGCTGGTTTCATTAAATACAACTAGAATAGCACAGCAAATTTATATTGGGTCTGGGAGCCTGGGGAAGTCTCTTTGCATACAGCTTGTATCATAGTTTCAGGCAACTAAACTGATATGGCTTGTGTCTAGATGTCCCTCAAAGGCTCATGTAGTCATAAATGGGGCTTTTTCAGAGGTGGCTAGATCTACAGTGTATAACACTAAAATTGATTCAGGGTACAATGCTAAGATCAAGGGCACTGAGATTAAGGATGTGAGTGCTACCCACCCTAAGTAGCCTAGATAAGATATAGGAGATAAAAAGAGCCGTGGTTGTCCTTTGTTGCTTTGTTATTTTCTGCCTACCATAAACTCTTTTCTCCTCTGTGATGCCTGTCTGCCACGCCATCCTGCATTGGAGCCAGCCAATTATACTAAAACCTCTACAAACTGTGAGCTAAATAAACCCTTCCTCCTTTAACTTTGGGTGTCAGGTATTTTGTCTCAACCACGAAAAAAATAAGTAACACATAAACCATAACCAGTCTCTTGTTTTCATCAAAATTAGAACTCTGTCTCTGTCTTACACTTGATTTTTACCTAATTCAGCAATACTTACTGTGCATCCAGTAGGTGCTAGGCATTAAGCTTGATCCTGAGGACATTAAAGTGAATGTCATGTAGTGTCCAATCTTGAAGAACTAGAGTCTCTAGGGAAAGAACTGTGGGAGGAGATGGTGAGACTATGAGTTCATAGCTTAGCAAATGCATAGGGAGAACACTTCACACTTGTAAGGGCATCTGTAGTATTATTGTGTTAGATGTCCCCTCAAAGCTTCATGCAATCATAGGGTGGGCTTTTCAGAGGGGGTTGGATCTAGAGTGTGTGGTATAGGGATTAAGGGTGTATGATTACTAAATCAGTCCACTGATTGGTTTGGCATAGTTCTAACTAGGATTAAGGATGTAAGTGCTACACCTGCCCTAGGCTGGGAAGCCTGCATAAAATATAAGAGATAGAAAGGGCTAATGTGCTCTCACCTGCCTGTGTTCTGTGGTGTATTTCTCCTCTGCCATGCCACCCTGTCTTAGAGCCAGCCAGGTATGGACAGAAACCTCTACAAACTTCAAGCCAAATAAACCTTTCCTCCTTTAACTTTGGGTATCAGGTATTTCGTCTCAACAACAAGAAAAGTAACTAAGACAATTCTTTAATAAAAGATCTCCTCAACACTCCGAGACTGGCAACAGAAGAGTTACCTCTCAGGGAGGAGATAGCTAAACTATCCTCTCTCTGCCAGAATTATCCACTTTAGAGGGCGAGTCACTCAGAGATCTTTAACTTTCAACCTCAAATGTTAATGAACTATTCGCATATAGAATGGCTAATGGACTTATTCCTAGAGTTCATCAGAAGCCAGATTTAAATATTTATACAGAACTTAGCCAGGTTTAGGGATAACAAAACCAAAGGATGGCAGTGAGAAATGCATCTTAATTTCTATTTTAAATGCTTTAAGGTAGCAGTCCCCAAACTTTTTGGCACCAGGGACCAGTTTTGTGGAAAATAATTTTTTCCACAGACCTGGGGAGGGTGGTTTCAGGATGGTTTGAGCATTTTACATTTATTGTAGACTTCAATTTTGCTATTATGACATTATAACATGTAGTGAAATATTTATACATCTCACTATAATGCAGAATCAGTGGGAGCCCTGAGCTTGTTTTCCTGCAACTAGATGGTTTTATTTGGAGACAATGGGAAAGTGACATCCAAAGCATATTGATTATATCCAGTCTACTCAACAATCTCATTTTGGTTGCTGCAGTCTGTAATCTTGTTTAGTTGCAAGAAATTGATTTATTATTGTCTCTGCAGCCCAACCTCTCTGCTAATGTTAATCTGTAATTATAGCCACACCCAGGGCTAGCATCACTGCCACAGCTCCACTCAGATCATCAGGCATTAGATTCTCATATGGAGCACACAACCTACAGACCTCTCTGCACAGTTTACAGTAGGGTTGGCACTTCTATTCTGCCCTCACAGGAGGTGGAGCTCAGGTGGTATTGCCAGGATGGTGAACTGCTGTAAATACAGATGAAACTTCACTTGCTTGCCTACCACTCACCTCCTGTTGTGTGACCCAGTTCCTAACAGACCAGGGACAGATACTGGTCCATAGTCTGGGGGTTGAGGAACCTTTCTGTAAGCCATTTTCCTGCCTAGATCCTGCAGGCTACCCTGCGGTTAGCATTCCCTGTACTGACCTGAAATGACCCAACTTCTCGCTTTTGCAAGACAGATTCAAAGGAGCAAGGCCCAGAGGAAGAGAGGGCACACATGGTAGGGAGGGGAGGGATATTTCAGGTTGTCTTATAGTCATCTTGCTGGAATAGGAAGTCTACCATTATTATTAAGTTATCATTTTATTAAACATTATTAAATGCAAAGCATCTTACTTTTTCATTCAAGAAATACTTATGGGTACCTGTTATGTGCCAAGCATTGCTACATGTTAGGATACAGCGATGACTTAAGTCGAGTATGGTCCTTTTCATGTGAATTAATCAATCAAATAAATTTGACATGATTTCGTAAGTGAAATTATGTGTGCCTCTCTATATTCATATCTTACTGTTTGTTGTTTTTCTTTTTTCGTTATTGTTTCTTATTTATGACCTCTTTCTCAGATGACTAATTCAACATTTTGACTATAAGTACCAGTACTGTCCTAAGCACTTTACAAATATTAACTCATTTAAGTTTTACAACAACTTTATGAGGTAGGTATTATTTTATCTATGAAGGGGCATGGAGAAGTTTAAGGCTAGATAGCAAGAAGCAGAGTTAGAATTTGACCTTAGATGGCCCTGAAATTCATATTCTTAACCAGTACTATAAACTTCAGATACTGAAAATAATACATTGGATCCCCCACCTTTCAAAATGGAGTTAAACTCCATAATCTTAATCTACAGCCTCAAGCATGCAATATAGAACATATAAACACACATAAACACACACTGTGTCCTTGAGGGCCTGGGCTTGGGCCCAGGCCACACCAGTAGTAGTAAGAGGAGTCTCTTGGCTGCTGAATTACATCTATTGGTTACTGGTTGACAGTAAGACACAGATAAAAACTAAAACAGAAGGGGTAAAAGGAGGGAGACAGAGTTGGAGGGCGGGGAGAGACGGTAGGTGTTTGTCTAAGAGAAACTCCTACAAATTAGTACAAAACTGAGCTCCCCATTTCTTAACACCAGGAAAATAGGATGAGTTACATGACTTTCATTATCTAATGATAAGAAAGGGCCTTAACAGTAGCAAAAGCTCTCACTGCAGCATCTTTCAGTGTGTGGTTTGTAGGTGCTCTGTACATTTTGCTTTGGTAAGTTTGGTGTTATGCCACCCCCCAGCACACACTGATACAGTATTTCACAGCTCTGCTGTGTCACTTGGAACTGTATCGCACCGTGCCAGTCAGCCCAATAATAATATTTATTGAATTTAGCACTGCCTGTGTACAGAACTCAGATGGAGGTTAGGGGAGGAAGATGTGTGGAAGACTCATGCTTCTAAAAATGCTTATAATCCAATTAGGAAGGATGAACACATACTGTGTGAAGAACCCAAACAGGTTTTAAACATAAGGATTTTAGCTCAGTGATGCCGCTGCCTGCCTCTCAAGTGCAAGGTCCAGAGTTTGATCCCAGGTACCAAAAAAAAACCCAACCCATAAATATAACAAAATCAAAATTATACCAAAGCAACCAGTAAGCACTGCATAGGCAGCGGTCAGTCATGGTGGACTTTCTCAGAAGGTGGGTTTTGATCTTGGATTTCAAGCAACAGTCTTGTAATGTTAAGATTGGAAGGGAATTCCAGAGCCACCCATGAAAGTGAAAATACTTGAATCAAGTTTTGGGAAGGGTAGACAGCAAGTGTCTTTGAAGGATGGTACCTAGAAATAAAGGAGACTCCGCCCTTCTTTTCTCCTCTGACCGGAAGAGACTGCTGGAGTTTGAGGGAGTGCACCTCATTTTAGGCGACAGAAGTTTGGGAGCATATACTATGCTTCAGGTACTGAGCTAGTTAAGTTTTACCCTACATACCTACTCTGAAGAGTGGGCACTATTTCCTCCACTTTGCAGTCGAGGAAACAGGTCAGCAGCGAGGTTTAGTAGATCTAAGTGCCTATGCCGAGTAGCTAGCTATTGAAGTGTGGAACCCCAAATGTAAGCCGGTTTATCTCCCCACCCAAGCTTTTGTGTCCTGCGCACAGTTCTGCAAGTTGAAGATTTAAGCGATGATTATTTGAAGAAGTGCTAGAGTCATTTCCTTGCTAAGTCACATTCTATACAAACATTTTTTTGCTGAGGCTTGGGGCACAGTAGGATTTGTTTTCTGTGTGCACGATGGTATTTTATTTCATTAAACACTTATCACTTTGCCCCATTTGACACTAGATGGTGAAACCGAAAATATAGTTTTCAGTTTGCCCTGTCCCTTAAGCAGATAATCCTGCAAAGCAATGTCTGGGCCAAACCCATGTCCGCGAGGAGAGAACAAAGTTTCTCCAAACGTCCAGGCTACGTGTAGAGACCGGGAAAAGTTTAACTCAGGTGCAAAATGAAGAGGGCCGCCGGACGCGGGGCGGGGAACCTGTGGCCTAGGGCTCCGCGAGGTGTGGCCGCGCTGCGCCGTCTGCGCATGCGTAAGGGGCCGCTCCTCCGCCGCCCTGCGCTGTTGCCCTCACGGCCCCGCCGGCCCAGCACCCCTCCTTCCTTCGCGTCCAGGCACCATGGCCGATCCTCGCGTGAGGCAGATCAAGATCAAGACCGGCGTGGTGAAGCGGTAAGAAGCCGCAGCGGCCAGCGCTCCCGTCTCTCGTTTCATGGCGGCCGGCAGGCGGGCGGAGCTGCGCAGGCCCGAGGCGGGCGCCGGCCTCCAGGCCTCATGGGTCCCCGGCCACGGGGCGGGGCGCGACGCCCCTCACCCCTCTCCCCTCCGCGCCCCTGCGCAAGTCCCGGGTCTCAGCGGGTGGGCAGTGGCCGGGCTGGGGGGCGGGGAGGCGGCCTCGGCTGCTCCTGGCCCCAAGTGGGCTCTGAAGCGGGCTCCGAAGCTCAGCGGGCCGCGCGGAGCCCGGGGCTCCTCTAAGAGAGACCGCGGCTGTGCCTGCGCCTCTTAACATGGCTGCGGGACACTCCGAGAGCGAGGCGCGAACTCGAGCACCCCAACTGATTCTGCAGCTCACTGCTCGCCGCGCCAGTCCTGCAGCCGCCCTGAGGCCGCGGTGCTGGGCGCCCCGCTCCCAGGGCCCGAGCAGGCCCGTAATCGGTTCTGATTCCAGTGCTCACTGGAACTTGAACTCAGAGCCCAAAAGTCCAAACTGCGGGGCAGCAGCACAGGAGAACGAAGCAGGTGGTTCTGTAGTAGGAATGGGTGGTTCTGGCCACCTGGTATCTTTTGTCCGGGTCGTGGATACTCCCATCAGAGGAAGGGCAAGCCAGAGGGAGAATAAATTTACTTTTTAGACTGTTGCCTCTGAGTTTCAGCATAGCATCATGCTTTCTTCATTACTGAAGCATAAAGAGATAGTATAATAGTAGTTTTAGACAGTAGTTAAGTAAATGCACAGCCTTTTCTGAAAGACTCCTTGAGTCGTTTGGATCTGATTTATTTCTGCGTTCTGGAATATATTATGTTGCACAGTGCCTCTGTTATTTCATTTGTAAAATAAATTACCTACTTCATGCAATTGTTGCCAGAAATGCCTGCTACACTGTTTAATACATTTTTTGGCAAAGAGCCAGTAGCTAGTAAATGTTAGCTAATGATACTGTGGTCCAGTTTCCTACTTGAGAAACTGAAGTTTAATAAACCAAAGTCATCTGTGGTCACACTGCAGGTTGGCAGAGTAAGGAAGTGAAACGAAGTTTCTAATACATGGCTTTCTTCTGTAAGCTGTGACGCTCAAATAGAGTATTAAAATTTGCCATAATAGCAGATTTGAGATGTAGAATTGAAAATGTACGTGCCATCACTAGACCCAGAGTCCTATTCTCATTTACTAGACATGTTGTGTCATTTTATTCAGTATATTTGGCAAAAGTACCAAGATGTATTAGAAATCATGACTTTAGACTGGAAATCATGAGAAATTACTGTAATAGTGGTTTCCCATTGACTATATGACTTTGAGGTTTCTCATCTAAACAATTATACTGATTTATAAAATTATTCAGTTCTGGTAGTTATGTGTTCACGATACACATTCTAAAGAAAAATCATTAGATAATTATGAACTAAGTTCTTAGGATTTCAAAAGCTCTCAAGTACTGAGCTGCCTGTGGCCAGACAGGGCAATTTTCCCAGACCCTGTCTCAAAATAAAATCTTAAAAATGGTCAGTGGTACTGGACTTGCCTACCATGCCGCAAGGTTCTGGGTTCAATCACCAGTACCACCCAAAACAACCTTCAACTACCTCAGTAAACTGCTTGGAAATAGAGCTTTCACTTTGTTTTCATTAACAATACATTGTTGACTTTAAATTTGATACACTTAATCCTTCAATAAATTTATCACTTTTATGACATCCTCACAATTTCCATAATCTCAAATTGCTTATAAGTTAATGGAAATATCTATCATATATTTTTTCATAGCTTTTCTGTTGACATTTGGGTGTAGAGCTTCCCCTGTGTATTATACAATGGGATGTATTTTTTTAAATTTAAAATTTGTTTTAGTCATATTTAATATAATTTATATTTAGTAACATTACTATATTATAGTAATTTATATTTATTAATAATGTAGTAATGTAGTAATTGGTTTTTTTAACCCTCTAAATCCATAAATATTATTCTTTTGTGTTTTCTTGTGAAAATTATTTTATTATGACTCTTTTCATCTTCTGCCTCAGTATCCTATTTTTAAAAATATATTTAGCTGGTGTGGTGGTGCAGGCTGTAACCCAGCACTCAGGAGGCTGAGGCAGGAGGATCATGGTAAGTTTGAGGCTAGCCTTGGCTACATAGTGAGTTCAAGGCCAGCCTGAACAACATAGAGAGACCCTATCTCAAAAAACAAAACAAAACAAATCTATATATTAACTCACCAAAGGGGGAAAATAGATGAGGCAGATATGGCAACATATTTATAATTTTGAATGTGGCATGGAGCTTCATTACATTCTTCTCTCCATATAAGGTTTTTCATAGTGAAAGGATTTAAAAGTATGCTCTTTTTTGTCCTCCTTTCCAAATTTAGTTTCAAACAGTGAAATTTCATGACTCAGACATGTTATTAGTTTGGTGAAAGAGCTTCTGCTCATTAATTTTTTAAAGGAATAGTCTAAAAACCAGCATCTGTTCTCAACCATATTTTATCTAGTCAAATGTTCATTCCTTATGACCTCATTTTTCTACAGAAGTCACACCTTGGATGAAGAAATTTAAAGTTATCTCTCATGCCTGTAATTCCTTCAATTTTCTCTTTAGAAGTTGAGAACTACTAGAAATTATATTTGAGGTATTTGTCCTAGAATTCAGTTTGAGTAGGTTATAATGGAGAAAATAATTTCTTAGGGTTTAGAGTGCAATCAGATCTGGAACATTTGGGTGATTCAGAAGTTCCCAATCATGGGTTTTAGAAAGAAATCTGGACAGGCATGTTAAATGTTAGGGGAGTGCGCAAACAAGCAATAAGTAGATGGTGGTGTTTGGCATCACGGAGATGGAGCAGTAATAATCACTTCAGCCTGTTGGTAAGATGCTGAAGACAGAGTAGTGGGTGCTAGCGCATATTAGGAAAGAAGCACATTTCAGGGGTACTGTTTTAGGCAGAGGATAGGAAGATAAGGCAGACGCCTCATAGTGCTAGAGAAACTTTGGTACTTGTGTAGTGACAGGCAAAGGATCTGATCTCTGGAAATGGTTTCAAGAGAGAGATTGTGAGGAACAAAGAAAGTCCATTTACTTGGATAGGAACGAGGCTGACTTGGTGCTCAGACTCTGACCCAGAAGCCTCCAAAAATATCTTCCTCCCAGCAATAGAGTTGTTTTTTGAGGGCTGATTTTGGCTGTGAAACTAGAGAGAAATGTGTATTAGAGGCGGAATGGGTAACTGTTCCGTGTTTCTTGGAGCAACAGCCTTTGTTAACATGTTTACTCATTGGCACATTCCTAATTGAAAAATCTGAAACTGTAAGTACTCTGAAATTAAAAACTTCAAGTGCTGAAACGTCACTCAAAGAATTTCAGAGTTTGGAACATTTTGGATGTTTAGGTTAGAAATTCTGCATTGGTAAAGTTTTATGCAAATACTGAAAATCTAAAAAACTGAAATCTGGAACAGTTCTGGTCCCAAACATTTTGAGTAAGGGATACCCAGCCTGTGGTGGGAATTAGTTGGTAGATTTGGGTCTGGCTGGCTCTTTTTAAAAAATGTAGACCTGTGTTTCCTCCAGATTACTATACCTGTTGTTACCTGTGACAAGGTCACAGCTAATCTGGCAGCCCTAGCAAGGAGTGACCAAATAATAGCCCAACTTCTCCTTTTTCAGAATGTTATTCCCTTCAACTGCCGCCCCCCCCCGTTTGTTTTTGTTTTTGTTTTGTTTTGTTTTTTAACACCTCAGTGGCACCAACTGTCACAACTTGGAACATTCAGTGCTAAAACTGGGAAAGTCACAGGCAAACCAAGATGATTGATTACCTCTTCTGTAACGAGCTGACATAGCTGTGTTGTGTGTATCCTGTGATTTGTTTGGAGGCTGTTGATAGTACAACTGTGAATTGTGCATTGGACCTTACTTAAAATTTAAATGCATCATGTAAGTATGAATCATCGCCAGAGTAGGTTTTTCTCCTGTTAACTTAAAGATTGAGAAAACTTCACTAAAATAGAAGATAGAATTGATGTTTTCTAAATATTGATGTGGTATTTTAGCTAAATGACTTAAGTCTCCCATAAGTTTTCAAGTAGGGTTTGTATTTATAAATATACTTGTTACTAGAATTGTGATAAAGTCAGGAAATTCTTCTGCAATAAAAAAATGCTTTCATCTATTTAGCATAAAAGGCTACTTAATAACTTTGAAGGCAGTTTACTTTTACAATAAAGCTTGCTGTAGTACCCTGCTGGTAGGTGAATTAATTGATAAAAAATACTTCCTTAAATATATCTTTTAAAAACTGTTTTAGATTGGTAATGGCTTAAAATTCAAAGTGAACAAAGAATGTTAGGGCTTTGGAAATAGCACTGATATTGGCCCATGGTTTTCCTCTGATTAAATGAAAGTGACACCAGTAGATTAGAATGAGACTAGGACAATTCACACTGCAATTGTGTTAGTTTAACTTTAACAATCTTTTAACACTCTTGTTTAAATGTAGCTGACATGCCATAATTACAAATCTACAAGCCCTGATTATAGAATTTTACATCATGAACCTGTAGGGAAATTGTATTGATTTCTTTTTTTTTTTAATAAAGCAGCACTGTTCCCAAACTGTGGCATCTTCCCAAGTTTGTTTGTATGTACACTTCTGGTATACAACTGTAGGTTGTGTCTGTCTGTCTCTCTTTCTTGTGTGTTTTATCTATATATTGAACTAACAATACAGAGATTTGATTTCCTTTTATGTTGTTTTTAATTCCTGCTATACAGTGTGTATTTTCTATGTGCATTAATTAGCAGTAATTAAAAATAGCAAGACAAAATCTTAATTCAAAATATACTGACATAAAAAGTGAAAAATGCAAGTGAAATATGTAATTAGGTATGCATAAAGTTCTTCCCCTTTAGCTTTGGCTCTCTATACACATCTTGTATTTAAAATTATAATG